TATGTATATATGTACAGCAAGAGAGAGGGAATTGGGGAAATTGGGTTTCACTGGAACAAAGTGAACAGCATAAGCCAGCTCATTTCTAACTCGTGTTAGTCTGTGATGATGGCTCCTGATGTTTAGCCCCTCCCCATAAAAGCACTTTCTCAGGGGCTCCAGCTTACCAAGGAACTCACCTTCAACAACATCCCTCTTGTAATCACTGTCATTGTCACTGTCTGTTGGCCGATAGTAAATATAAAATCCTTGAATGGGAGTGTTATTGTTACTCGATGGAATATACTAGGAAACAGAAGCCAAGACTTGTCAAAGGCAAAAATAAGAGTAATCTCCAAATTTCCTCATCTGTACGGCAATGTTTCTCTAGCTTTATTTTGCAATATGTATAGTGGCCATTTTCTAACCTGATTCAGAGATATTCAAAGATATATGATCATTTATCATATTGCAGGACTAAACAAAAATAAAACAGTATACACTTCACTAGCTTCAAAACTAAATGTACACTTGGTTCAAAAAGAATAAATCATAAAGTGTCAATTAAGTTAACAACATTGTGATGAGGTCAAAATAAACGATAATTCCATTTTACCCCTGTCTCTTAGAATATGTGCTTTAGACAAACATCAGTGCCCTTCTACTTCCCACAATTAAAAGTTCAACAACTGGTTGCTCATAGCATCACATCACGAGCACATTACGCTGACAGGAAACCTGATTGAGAAGATGTCCACTCACGTACCGTCCACTTTAGCATGATTTGAGTGTCGCTGACAGCCTCTGTGTATGCAATGTGAGGTCCAGTTATTGGGCGGTTGGAGAAACGATTTGGGAAGCCAGCCACCTGGTAAGGACGGGATGCTGAGCTCCGAAAACTCTCACCATAATGGTTGATGGCAATGACCCTAAATTTGTATGTTGAACCTAGGAGATGGGGCAAAACCAAAACGTTTTAAACTATAAAAACCTGTAATGATGTTATGGTGCATCTAAAGAATAAGTTAAAATCTTGAAGTGAGTGTCCTCGTCACTCAAACACAATCACTGGAAGATTTTCAGTCTAGAAAGTGTCACTTGGTACCAATACCCATATCTAAAATTGCTGTGGATATTGCTCTATATAAATAAAACACTGATGGCCAGTGACCAGGCAGGAAGTAGGTTGCCAGGCAGGAAGTAGGTGGGACAAGGAGAGAGGAGAATTCTGGGAAGCAGAAGGCTGAGGAGGGAGACACTGCAGCCACCGCCAGGAGAAGCAGCATGTAAAGACTCTGGTAAGCCACCAGCCACGTGGCAAGGTATAGATTTATAAAAATGGGTTAATTTAAGATAAAAGAACAGTTAGCAAGAAGCCTGCCATGGCCATACAGTTTATAAGTGATATAAGCGTCTGAGTGATTATTTTATACATGGATTGTGGGACTGCGGGGCTTGGTGGAACCTAGAGAGAGGACCTCCAGCAACATAAAATTGCTGTCTCTTCTCAACTAACTGCATCTGTTCCCCCACGACACAAAGTTAGACACAGACATCTGCTACATCTGTGTATATTTAAAATTCCAGGAGCTAAAGTGGTCCTGAGCCCCCCAAAAAGGATAAATTTATTCACACTTTTTCCTCCTTTTTAATAGTCTCAAGGTTTGGGGCTGAATGGGATTAGAGAAACAACTTAAAATCCAGAAATCAAATGGTTAAGGGGTGGTGATGTGGCTCAGTGGTAGAGTACTTGTTTAACATGCACAACGCCTTGGCTTCGATCTCCACCACTAAAACAACAGCAACAACAACACAAATAGTTAAGCAAAGTATGATACACTTACAAAGTTGGATATAAAATGAGGGATGAAAAACTGTATTTATGACAAAATTCCAGGGCGTATAAAGTCATAGAGAAAAAAAAAAGACTAGAAAGAAATATACCAAAATATAAACCCTATCTATGGATGGGTATAGTTCAGATAACTTATTTTCTTTCTTTATTTTCAAATTTTTCCACAATAAGCATTTGCTACCTCAAAAAAAATAGCAAATAAAAAAAAGTATTATTACCTGGTTCTAAACTACGAACTTCCACAGAAAGTTTGGAAGGAGGGATATCTTCAGCGGCCACCAGCCAGTCACTAGTCCTCATCCGTTTATATTCCACCTTGAAGGCAGTGATTGGAGAGCCGCCATTTGCCCGGGGGATCCAGGTGACATAGACGGAGGTCTCTGATGCCGTAGAGATGGTAGGACGGTCTGGAGCCTCCGGGACTGAAAATTGGAACATTTATTCCACCATCACCACGGTGCCAGAGGCAGGAATAACCCCCAAACACTATGAGGGGTAAATCCCAAACCCTGTGTTAAAGGTCCCTCATCAATTTTTTTTTGTCATAGCAATAATATTACAGCCTGTCTCCCTGTCCTCTTTAAAAGCTAATGGGAAATGAAATGTACAGGAAAGGAAATACAGGAAACTGGAAAGTCGAATGATTACAGATATGATAATTAACTCACAAAGAATGAAAGTTAATGAATATGATCGTTTCTGCTATTCTATTTTAGATGTATGACTAAAGCCGTGTGCAAGTAATTATTTGATTTTGGTTATGATATATAAACAATTCTCACAAATGTTTTCTTCTTTGAGGTGTCTTCTGAATTACATAAAACAAAGCCAACGACCTACTGATTGTTACACTAACTGTTACGATTACCCTCCTTGAATATGCCTCGAGGCTTCAGGAGTTGCTGCTTTGAAACTAAAACGGTCAGCGCACGCACAGATGAAACAGGGAAAAATCAATACTAGCGAGGGAACAAGGGAAGGAGAGGATGGGAGGGAGATGGGAACAGAGCCACGGGAGGACCATGACACAAACACAGAAAAGTGGGTGAGAGATCATGTCCGACTACCACAGGGCACAGGTGCTGTCCTACGCCACAGGATAGGACTAGACCCTGTGGCAGATGGGAAACATCGGGAGTGAGGCCACTGGCATTTAAATGGGGGACCTAACTTCCCTTGCTGAACGAGCAGGCTGGTGGTTGTAACTGACTGCCTTCGTGATTCCTACAAGGACGGCCCACGGAATAGTTACACTGAACCCCAGTAAACTGCCATTCTGCTTCCACATCAGCCGCCTGTGAAGTCTGTGGACATCCCAGGAAGCCAGGGGGTCTTTCGGATGCTGACAATGAGTTGCTAAAGCTGGACATGGAAGGCCAACCTGGGCCACGATATTGGTGAAGCCACAAAAGAAGCTGTATCTCTCTCCTGGGTCCATGCCTCTCAAGCAGCTTGTTTGACCCCAGCATCATTTTAACTCGCATTTCTAAGGCATATGAAGGAAGTCACACTGAACATGGTACTTGTGTGCAGAAAACCAGGGTGTTTTACAAAAGAAATATGGGATTTGTGGGATAAACAGAAGAAGGCATTAGCAGACTGCAGGTGATACTTACTGTATTCCTTTCCACTAGAAAGCAATGGAAAGAAACAGAATGAGCAGAAATGTTAATGCGGGTCTTTACTGAAAATCAAGCGACTTTCTCAGGGTGACTGTGCAAGGTTCAAACTCACCAAATGCCACAGGCCAAAGAAGAAAGAAGGTCACTGAGGAGAATATGTCTACAGAGAAGAGCACACTCAGTCTCTTTCACACAGCAGCTGCACTGGGAAGACATAGATTCCTACAGCGGCTCCACCACTGTCTAGCCCACTGAGACCTCAGCACATCAGTTACCTCATCCGGGAAGCAGACAGGCTCCCCTCCTCAAGAAGCAGTTGTCAACAGCCAACAGATCATTTCCTATGTGTATTTCAGTTTGGAGAATTCCAAACTCACAATCTTCACCTCCAGTCTTTTCTCATCCTTTAAATGGTCCCGCGTGCCCACACCCGACCTTCCTCCCTGTCATTCAACCACATCGATCCCGTCACCCCAGCCTCAGCTCTGCCCTCCCCTCCTTGATATTTCTCTAGGCATGAGTTTCTTCCTCTTTAAAATCCTTTAGGGCTCTTTTGAAGGGGTAGCATGAATACAGTCCCCCACTACCACAAATTATATAGTCAAGTTCCTAGAATTTGGGGAAACCCTAGGGGCCAATACATCCAAAGTATAATAAAGGAATCTCATGCTGGGGAGACCATCTTCATGATCCTGGAATCTCCCTTTCCAAGTTCAGTACTAGGACTCTTGATAGCTCCCAGGAAAAGATTGCATTTTTAAAATGTCTCATTTTATTTATTCATTTATTTATGTAGGTATGTATTCATCATGGGTAGAGAGGCATATGACACAGCACACGTGTGGAGGTCAGAGAACAATATGCAAACTCCCTTTCTCTTCTTTCACCAGGTGGGTCCCAGGGGTCAAAGTTGGGTTATCAGGCAATAAGTGTCCCTACTCACTGGCCGAGATCACACTTCTAAGTGTGTCATATAGGACATGGGCACCTACCTGCTTCCTTACACTATCATCATCTCCAACAACAATAAGTCACACTAAAGAACTGAAGGCAACATGTCATCTGTCCATCTGCATAAGGGTATCTTTGCCTTTCCTGCTCCTTCATCTGGAGGCATCAATCTTGTCTTCTGAGGCTTAGCTCAAGATGCCGAGCAGCCGTGGGAACCGCTGTGTGCCCTCCTTTGTATCAGGGTGAGTTGAGTATCTCTCCTGAGGGTCCACGTCACCAGGAGCATAAGCATGAGCAGAATGGACAAGCTGGCTGTTACTGGCATGCCTGTGTACACTATCCATCCTCCTGCTATGGGCTTAGCTGCCTCTTCTGTTTTCAGCAGTCAGTTCCCTGGCGTGTGTGTGTGTGTTTTCAGATGTCTGTATCACACACAATGCTTTAGATCCTTGAGAGCAAGGATTATTTTACCTCTGCTGTGCTGGCAGTCAGTAACTTCTGCAGGTTGGGTTAAGTAACTAGTCAAGTATTCGTTTTTACTCTAATAAAGCTGGTAGTCATGTAAGTAGTGTACATAAGGTAACTGAAAAGTAGCTCTGAAGTGGAAGTCCTGTAAGGTGTACACATGTACACCAATCATACACACACACACACACACACACACACACACACACACACACACACATACACACACACACACAAAGTAGCTCTTCAGGGGAGAACATAACCTAAATAACAAATGTCCCATTCTGTCCTATCTCCCCCAGTGAAACAGGACACTGACATTTATAAACAAACAAGATGAAGATTCTTTACCTCCACTATGCCTAGAGGAATCCGTAAGCACAACTCCAAAATTGCTGTTGGAAGCCTCGGAAATAACAGGACGCTTAGGGATGCCCACAGGTGGAAAGGATGCCTGGGTGTTTTTTGACGATGCCATTTTTTCTGTAAAGTTTTTTTAAAAAACAATAAGCTTATATATGTGAAATAAAAACAAAACAAAAAAATGACCATGAACCATGACTAGCTCTAAAGATACATGTGTCTGTGTCTAAACACAATACCCCCTTACATTAACTTGGTCTTTAGGACCAAGGATGCTTGGTTTTTCTGTAGCATCATTAAAAGAAAGCAAATGTGTCTTTCTTTGTGGTACTGCTTGAGCTGACACATGGAAAACACAACTGTGATGGTTGGTTTGGGTGTAAGCTTGCCACAAGTTAGAACCACCTGAGAGGGGAGCCTTGAGTGAAGAACTGTCCTGCCTGCCTTAACTGCTGTGGAAGACCCTCCCCAGACCTATGGCAGCAGACCAGACTTGCTCACTTCGGTTCCCTTTTGCTGCTGACTGGTTCCCCCTCTGCTGCTGCTCATTCCAGTGTTTCCAGTCTCCATGGCTGACTGAGGGCAAACAGCTCTCCAGGAACCTTCCAGGTCTGCAGCACCAGGCTGGGACTGCTGAGGCACCAAGCCTCCCAGACTGAGTAAGCAGCAGGTTGTTGGCTCTCCAGCGAGAGACAGCCACTGTGGGACTGCTCCGAAGGCTGAGGCTGCGGGCCACAAAGACCAAGCGCCTCCCAAGGTTCTTAGCCTCTCAGCTGTGAGACACTGTCGGTACACTTAATGTGGGCCAGTTTAAAGTCATGTCTATGCCCCTCTATGTCTATGTCTGTCTATGTCTATGTACATCTCGGCCTATGTCTGTCTATATGTATATGTATATGCATGTTTATGTCTATGTATGTGTATGTCTGTCTATGTCTGTCCATGTGTGTGCATATGTGTATATATATGTATGTATCTGTCTATATGTGTGTGTATATCTATGTCTACATACTTGTACTGGTTCTGTTCCTGTAGAGAATCTTGACTAACACAGCAACAGGACCAGGAAAGCCAATAAGGACTTGAGCGAAGATTCTAATTTTCCTTTTTGTTGTATGCATTCATTCCAAAATAATATTCATAATTAAGGAGCTTCTGTTAAGTTGTTTTCCCACAGAAAAATGCCATGCTAACTTTTCATGTTTCAACAAGCAAAAGTGAAATTTGGTTTTGTTGTTTTTTTAGTTTTTAAACAGAAACAGCTATTCAGCAGTTATAGGTCAGACTATAAATAACTAGGACGGAGTGGTGAAAACTAACTGAACATTCATTTAAAATGGGAAGTACTCATTTCTGCCCAACAGTGAGTCAATGAAAGTCTTTTCCCAAAGGCTGAGTCCTTCCCAATCCTCCGAGGCCATTTTTCTTACAGCACTGTGTTGTGGAATATTTGTTTAACTATGTAAAGATGTGTTGTATTTGTTTAATTTTGTAAAGATGTGTTGCTGTTTTGCCTGGCCTGCCTAAGGTACCTGACTGATCTAATGAAAAGCTGAATGGCCAATAGCAAGGGAAGAGGTATGGGTGGAACTTCCGGGCAGGGAGAGTAAGGAGGAGGAGGAGGACTTCAGGTTTAGAAAGAGAGAAAAGGAGATGATAGGGAGACACCAGAGGCTAGACAGACAGACACAGAAGAAGCAGGAAAGTAGGACATACAGAATGAAAGAAAGGTAAAAAGTCCCAAGGCAAAACATAGATGAAGAGAAACAGGATAAATTAAATGAAAAGAGCTAGTGGGACAAGCCTAAGCGAAGGCTGAGCACTCATAATTAATAATAAGCCTCCATGTCTTTATTTGGAGCTGGTTGGAGGTCCAAAGAAAATTCCAACTATAGCACTGGGGTAGAACCTGCTTCCTCAGGGATCGCCCTCCCCCTCTGAAGTATGTCCCTGTATTTAGACCACTCCAGCACAGGGTCTTCTACCTGGACTCCCCTCACAAGCTGTTCATCAGGAAGATTCTTCTGGAATTCTGTCATGATACTGCTCACATTGTCTGTCTTTTGTCGGTCCTACCCTCCTGCATTACACTTGACTCCGTAACTCCAGCCCAGACATTCAGCTCCTCCTTTCTCCCTGGGCGTCACCAGCAAAGCCTTGTCAAGTTCCACAGAGTGCTGTGTGACCCAGCCTCACTGTCACACACACATACCCAGACATCACAGAAGCCCCTGTGGTGTTTCTAGTGTGCACACCAAGCACTTTCTTTCCACCGATGTGTAAAGGCTTTTTACTTCCCCTTCTTTAAACATCTTACTGCTAATCCTGACCATATCCCTAGCCACCTCCTTACAGTAACTCCAACTCAGAGTCCATCCCTGAAGTTACTTCTTTGTTAACACCTCCCCCTGAGGTGCTTAGACCTTGGGTGTATGCTCCTCCCACCTAGAACATGAACTCCACAAGGACTAGCTTTGTCTATTTTCTGTACTGCCAATGCATGGAGAGCATTTCTTAAGTCCCAGAATCAAGTTGGATTTTGTCTGGAATTGTTATCTGAGTGTGCCCTTTACCTTCCTCATCAGAGTGTAAGCTCCACTGGGCTGGATCTCAACCTGACTACCTCTGACACACCTGCTTTGCCCATCTCAATGCTGCTGATCATGAACTTGCAAAAATACATATGGATTATTACAATGGAATAAATAATACAACCCTTAAGTGTAGTCCTCAAAAGGTGCTACAGTGTGCATGTGTAACAGATTTTATCTCTTAGGATTTCTACTGTCCAGTGGATTCATACTGATAAACTGACATTAGGTAACCAGTTTACTCTGACAGAAGGTGGCACTCACCTTTGCTGGTGCGGAAGGTAAGCATGGCAGGCTGCCCTTCACCGGCTGCGCTTCTAGCCACCATCAACACTTCATACAGACTGGACGGCTCCAGCTCAGTCAGATGCAGCTCATTTTCACTTCCTGGGACACGAACCGTGTGCCAGCTGCCCACTGCACCAGTACCATCATCCAGCTGCTCAAGAGAAAGCCAGAATAATGAGAGATGGAGGACAGGAAACCTTTCTTCCCAATCACAAAAATCTAGTATTCATTTAATTCTAGAGGAGTTTGCAGAAGTGATATATTATTGTAAGCAAGAGATACATTTGTCTTATGGAATGTATTGCTCTCATTAAATAAGAGGAGCTTTTAAGTTTTGCTTTAATACAAACCTGCAGAGGAAAAATATCACCCAAAGAATCAACAGATAGAGGCCCAAGCACAATGAAAATAAATAACCAAACCATTTAAGACTCTAGTACCACTAAGAGGCCAGCCTACAATGTGACGATCACAGACAATGCCAGAGGGCCTTGCTCCAACAGGTGCTCTTTATTTGATGAGTATTCTACCTTCTTAGCAAAGGAGAGAACTTAGGTTTTCAAAGTAGTTTACAGCATTTGATACCCAGTGGATTAAAACAAGAGGTTTCATAGAAAGCGGTAAGTGATGGGGTTGGAGGTAGAACTCAGTGGTAACCTCTAGCCTAGCTTGAAGCCTTGAGTTCCACCCCCAGCACAGGGTGGGAGGGAGGGAATGAGAGAGGGGAAATTTTATGGTTACTTTGGATTCACACTTCTATTTGGGGGGAAAAGATACTTCATTCATACAGTTTTCTAAGATCTGTCAATCTAGCATGACTGATGGAGATACCTCTGACAAACCTATTCTAGAGCACTCATCTTTCTACCCTCCCACAAAATGTGAAACATAATAAGCAAATGTTACACACACACACACACACACACACACACACACACACACACACACACACACACACACACAGGGCTAAGGAATGAGAAAAGAAAAATGAATGGGAAAGCTTTACCTTTCGGTACTTCACGAAATAGGCATTGATGGGCAGTCCGCCATCCCTCCCTGCCCTCCACACCAGGTTGTATGTATCTGGCATGTGGGTCTGTGGGGGGCTCAGTATGTTAGGAGCATCGGGGACGGAGGCGTTTTTCTCTGCTGGCAGTTCCACTCCACTGGAATGCACCTTCATTGGAAATAAGTTCAGCAAGCTAGACTCTGAACCATCTCTTGGATCTCGTTCATCATTCTGAGTAGCTTCAGAAGGTGTGACTGACTCTGCTTTTGTATTTGTTTCGAAAGGAACTGCATAGAGGGGGGAGAAGAAAAGGGGGAGACGGGTTGAAGGAGTTCACTTTTCCAGCATCTTCTACCCAGTTCATACCATTGCCCAGGCTGACATTATGAGCACAGCTTGAATCCCAGACATGAAAACAAGTAACATTTCACTGTTTCATTCACAGTGACATCTAACTTCTATTGTCAATCTTTCTACTCACTGGGAAGCAGAGGGATTGTTTGGAAAAACCAGTAGCATGACGTAATAGTTGACTAGTAAAAGTACTTTTATTTTTAACTTACCTCTGTATTAATACTCAGTTTTTGCGATAACAATTTACTAACTGAATTTAAAAAGACTTGGTGAGTCCAACACAATAGACAGTGCATTCTACTGTGAGCAAAGCGACAGAGGAAGAACCTGGGGACAGTGGGATGGCTCAGTGGACAATGGCAAGAGCCTGACAACCTGGGTTCCATCCCTAGAACCCACAGGGTGGATGAGAACCAACAAGTCGCCCTCTGACCCCTACATGTGCACCATGGCATGCACACCCATGCCCACATACACAATAAATAAACGTGGTAGGTCTTGTTTGTTTGTTTGTTTTTAATAGTCAGCATTGTTCTCCCACCCTCTGGAAAATTAGTTTCCAAAGTTACTTCCCAGAATTCCCACTTATGCAGTGCCCTCCGCCCTGAATCTCAGCTTAAGCTTTAGGGAGCCCTAGTTCTGCTTTTACTTTTGTCCTTATGGTCGGCTGCCCCACAGACATGTGTCAGCTGGCCTCATGTAGAGATTTCACAGACAGAAATGGAGATGAGGGTCTACTTCCACAAAAGCCCACAGGAGAGTGAAGCTACCTTGGCTGTATCCTCTTATTATAGTCAAGTTACAAATTACTAACCCCAAGCAAGGCAAAAGCAGGAATATCCCAGCTGCATCTGGCTAACTAACAGAATA